CCCCAAAACCCCAAAACCCCAAAACCCCATGAATCAAAAATTTTTGTTGCATTCAGATTTGTTTAATTGAATTCACTAAACTAACTCGCAATATTATATCATTTACTTTTCTTATCTTCAACACTTTATCATGTCCAATTAATCTCTATTATAAATCTTTAACTTCTTTTAGATAAGCATTTAATGATATCATATAATAAAATCAGCTTTAGAATTCTTCTGTACTATCTTAATCATATTGTAACTGAGTATACTTCTATTTCTATTACTTTAAAATTATAACTTCCAGCTAAATAGTCTTTACAGAATTAATCATCTTTCTTAAAACCTTATGGAGCCATATATGTATGGCCTAAATTACTATTACTACTTTGATTAATATTGCAATCATTTGAAATATAAATATCACATCCACCGCCGAATACTATTGAATAATCTTTGTAATGTCTAACTGCTTGATCAAATCGTTGATATTATTTATGTAGAGTGTTCTTAGTCAAGCTAAACACAAATGCTTCATCATCTTTATGATAACTATTATGAGATGTCCAAGAGATAGAAGTGTAGCCTCCGAAAATTTATACATGTTCACTCTGTATAAATGAAATGGTTGGTCCTTAATTATCACATTTTGAATGAAAATTAGCTACCTTAAATCCATCTCTAGAACCTTTATATATAAGATTACATTTGCCTGGTATCTTAAATAGCTTTGGATAGTACTTTGCATCAAGTTGAGAGTCAACTAATCTTCTAAAGATAAAGCTCTTTTCTATTTCTGGCTTAATTGATTTTGCCAAAAGTGTATCGTTGAAATCTAATCTGGCTTATAGCTAATTGAACTAATTTGCAAGATTGTCTATTTGCGATTATTACAATGCCCCTACTGAGACTTTTAGTTCTATCAATTAATTTTGAATGCTAATCGCTCTAATTTCTTCTTGACTTTGAACAAGAACTTGCTATTGTCCTTCATTATTAATTTGATTAATCTATCGAAAAGCATTGTCACTAGCAATCATCAAATTATCTGAATTTAATATTGCTTATAAAATAATGACTCTTAAGTCAAGTTAATTTACATTTTCTGCTTTTTCTTTCCTATTCAAAAGAAATTAGAATAGTGAGAAAAGTTAGTTGTAGAGGACATTTATTTTCTATGAAGAGAAAGTCATGCTTTGTTTATTCCTTGGCCTAAAAATAAGTGTAATATCTATTTTTCTTATTATATTATTCCTTAATAGCTCTTAAGCATAATTTTTTGCAATAAGAATAAGAATGACTATCATTTTTATGATATTTGTTTTAGAATTCTGATAGTGTTTTAGTATAAACAGAACAAATTACGTAAAATTAGTAATAAAGTTTAAAACATCAGTTCTTTCTCTTAAGCTTGTCTTGATTTAATCATTAATTGGAGATAGTTAAAGAATTTAGCAACTTTTATTAATCATCTTCTCAATTTCATTAACATTAAATCCTCTTTCTTTAAATACAAAAGCATTAGCATTGTGTATCAAATTATTAATTGATTCTATCTCATCGTAAAATAATGGAAGCACTTTTTCAAATGAATTTTCTAAAAGTTTTCGATCAAAAGCAAAATGAGTTTCTCCATCTTGTGGACATTTCAAATGAGGATTAACAAGCATACAACTAGTGCATATAATCTTATTCCTGAGTTTGCAATAAATCTAGGCTTAATTTTCCAAATGCTCATCACAATTGATGAGGTAAAAATTCTATTGTCGAAGGTTTCTTAGCAAAAACTTATTCTCTGTAACTGGATGGTCAATGGCACAGAGATGAGTATTATCGTACGGACATTAAATTTGTTAATTTTGAACTTAGTCCCTTTAGCTATTGTAGCATTGCTAACAGATAATATCTTCACATGGCAGTTCCAGTGGTTTTCTATTGTCAATGTTGTATAGTTTTTTGCACCCAAAGCAAGTGTAAATGTCACAAGAAATTTACTACATTCTAGCTATAGTTATCTCTTAAGTTTTATATATTTAATAATAGAGTAAATTATTTGCAAACTTATTTAACAATTGATTTTTTACCAATTTGTTTCAAATTTCTTTTCATTTACCACCAATTCTGACTCACGGGGTTTTGGGGTTTTGGGG